CCCTTTGACCACCAACGACACACCATGTCACTCAGCATATATTTCGCAAACTAATCTACCAAACACTGAGATGAGTTCACGAAACCACTGGTTGCGTTGTCTCCCTTTTGGAACTATAAAGATACGATTAACTTTCTCTCAGATTTAGACCCATGCTTGCCGTTAAAAGGCGACTATGCTTGTCGTAAAAGGCGACTAACGGGATCGGGTGGTCAGGCTCGCTGGCTTAGTTGATGTTCATATTATTCACTGGATTGTCTGGTCCAGACGGGATTATTTACAGACCGCTTTCATATAGCTGGAATATTGCTGAATGTGGCGTTAAACAACCAACCTACCAAAAAATCAAACTGGAATTGGCATTAAAAAAAAACCAGATCGCAGACGAATACGCGTTTGGCGGGAGTTGTTTTGTTTATGGTCAAAGGGAGGTAATCGTGTTTGTACATGAGTTAACTCCCTTATCTGAACTCCGCACAGTGTCTTTCTTGATACTTCACACACAGCGTGTGCCCGCTGGTGTCAAAGGGAGCTAACCGCGTACAACAAAACAAGAGTAATGCCCCTTGTCCCAAAGGGAGGTAAGTCTGTTTAGCAAATGGTAAACAGTGTTAACAGTGACTTCCCTTTGACCATCAACGACAAGGTTCGTCAAATCCAGTGAGTCGTATCAATGTAGTATGTAGGTAAGGGAATGCGCCCAATGTGCACCGGAATGAAACAGAAACCTTAAGTGTGCGGCACATGAAACCACTACCGTGTCCTCTTTGTATATATTGAGCATATAACTATACCAAACACCGAGATGAGTGCATGAAACCGTTGATTGAGTTGTCTCCCTTTGACCGTTACAACACAAGTTCCTTCCCCGGTATCATCCCAGCCAGCTGGTTTATTGACGGGTGCCTAGAAACCGAAAAAGTGTAGACATTTGAATGGGGACCAGTTAGTTGCTGTTTGCAGCGGAATAGCCAGGGACACACGTTAGAGTTACCTATTAGTCTAGCATGTTTGATTGTTGTTGCTGGGGACCCTATTTGTAACCAGTAGATCTACCCTCAACGGGGTTCATGAATGCTGACAAGCAGTGTCGAATACTTGACGATAACATGATGAAAAACAGTGGTTTTGAATTACACCCAGCTCATGTATCTGATCAACACCACTCTACAGCTATCTTTGAATTTACTTCGGTGCCTTGTCAACACATCGTCAAAAATGCATTTACAGGACCGGCCAATTCAGCGATGACTAATTCTCACTTATGCGCACACATTCTCCCAAACCGTAGATCGAGTCTTGTACTGGAAGTCAATGCATTACGACGCACTGTCAAATCGGCAAACTGACTAGGGTCGTTCTTTAACCCTCTTGGTGCCACAGGACCATATATGGTCGGTCACTTTTCACACCCGTATAGTGCATGTTATACAATTTGGTAACACTGTGTGAAGAAATAAGAACGTTGTATCACTTTTGATACAATGTATATGTTTTTGAAATCGCGACGTCATCACGGTGCAGCACAGAGCGGTATGCAGGCTGACTGACGTACGGGCACCATGAAGTTAAAACGAATTGGCCATCCAGGGCTGATGTTATTGTTTTACATGCTTTGTAAACATGGTCGGTCGTTGTTAACTTGTTGCCAATATTCACATGTACAGAATGAAAGTGTATAAATCCGTCAAATAAAGAGTAGTGATATACCAAATTATAAGAACTGACTAACTTTGTGTGAATTCATTGAACCAGTGTCAACAGATTTTTCATGTCAGGTTCTTTCAACCTGTGCAGAATCTTACAATCTTTGCTCATCCGTCTGTCAGCACTACTGATTGTTCATGGTGTGTTCCCCATCTATAATGTCATACTGTCTGCACTATTGGTTCTTCATGGTGTGGGTGTCCTGTATAGAATGTCATACTGTCGGCACTATTGGTTGTTCATGGTGTGTGTCCTGTATAGAATGTCATACTGTCGGCACTATTGGTTGTTCATGGTGTGTTCCCCATCTATAATGTCATACTGTCTGCACTATTGGTTGTTCATGGTGTGTGTCCTGTATAGAATGTCATACTGTCAGTACTATTGGTTGTTCATGGTGTGTGTGTTCCCTGTGTATAATGTCATACTGTCGGCACTATTGGTTGTTCATGGTGTGTTCCCCATCTATAATGTCATACTGTCTGCACTATTGGTTGTTCATGGTGTGTGTCCTGTATAGAATGTCATACTGTCAGTACTATTGGTTGTTCATGGTGTGTGTGTTCCCTGTGTATAATGTCATACTGTCAGCACTAGTGGTTGTTCATGGTGTGTGTGTTCCCTGTGTATAATGTCATACTGTCAGCACTATTGGTTGTTCATGGTGTGTTCCCTGTGTATAATGTCATACTGTCAGCACTATTGGTTGTTCATGGCGTGTTCCCTGTGTATAATGTCATACTGTCAGCGCTATTGGTTGTTCATGGTGTGTGTTCCCTGTGTATGTCATACTGTCAGCACTATTGGTTGTTCATGGTGTGTGTGTTCCCTGTGTATAATGTCATACTGTCGGCACTATTGGTTGTTCATGGTGTGTGTGTTTTCCTGTGTATAATGTCATACTGTCAGCACTATTGGTTGTTCATGGTGTGTGTGTTCCCTGTGTATAATGTCATACTGTCAGCACTATTGGTTGTTCATGGTGTGTGTGTTCCCTGTGTATGTCAAACTGTCGGCACTATTGGTTGTTCATTGTGTGTGTGTTCCCTGTGTATAATGTCATACTGTCAGCACTATTGGTTGTTCATGGTGTGTGTGTTTTCCTGTATAGAATGTCATACTGTCGGCGCTATTGGTTGTTCATGGTGTGTGTGTTTTCCTGTGTATAATGTCATACTGTCAGCACTATTGGTTGTTCATGGTGTGTGTTCCCTGTGTATGTCAAACTGTCGGCACTATTGGTTGTTCATGGTGTGTGTGTTCCCTGTGTATAATGTAATACTGTCGGCACTATTGGTTGTTCATGGTGTGTTCCCTGTGTATAATGTCATACTGTCAGCACTAGTGGTTGTTCATGGTGTGTGTGTTCGCTGTGTATAATGTAATACTGTCGGCACTATTGGTTGTTCATGGGGTGTGTGTTCCCTGTGTATGTCATACTGTCAGCACTATTGGTTGTTCATGGTGTGTGTGTTCCCTGTGTATAATGTCATACTGTCAGCACTATTGGTTGTTCATGGTGTGTGTGTTTTCCTGTATAGAATGTCATACTGTCGGCGCTATTGGTTGTTCATGGTGTGTGTGTTCCCTGTGTATAATGTCATACTGTCGGCACTATTGGTTGTTCATGGTGTGTGTGTTCCCTGTGTATAATGTCATACTGTCGGCACTATTGGTTCATGGTGTGTGTTCCCTGTGTATAAATGTCATACTGTCGGCGCTTTTGGTTGTTCATGGTGTGGGTGTCTTGTATAGAATGTCATACTGTCGGGGCTATTGGTTGTTCATGGTGTGGGTGTCCTGTATAGAATGTCACACTGTCGGCGCTATTGGTTGTTCATGGGGGGTGTGTTCCCTGTGTATGTCATACTGTCAGCACTATTGGTTGTTCATGGTGTGTGTGTTCCCTGTGTATAATGTCATACTGTCGGCACTATTGGTTCATGGTGTGTGTTCCCTGTGTATAATGTCATACTGTCGGCGCTTTTGGTTGTTCATGGTGTGGGTGTCTTGTATAGAATGTCATACTGTCGGCACTATTGGTTGTTCATGGTGTGGGTGTCTTGTTTAGAATGTCATACTGTCAGCGCTATTGGTTGTTCATGGTGTGTGTGTTTTCCTGTATAGAATGTCATACTGTCGGCGCTATTGGTTGTTCATGGTGTGTGTGTTCCCTGTGTATAATGTCATACTGTCGGCACTATTGGTTGTTCATGGTGTGTGTGTTCCCTGTGTATAATGTCATACTGTCGGCACTATTGGTTCATGGTGTGTGTTCCTTGTGTATAAATGTCATACTGTCGGCGCTTTTGGTTGTTCATGGTGTGGGTGTCTTGTATAGAATGTCATACTGTCGGCGCTATTGGTTGTTCATGGTGTGGGTGTCCTGTATAGAATGTCATACTGTCGGCGCTATTGGTTGTTCATGGGGTGTGTGTTCCCTGTGTATGTCATACTGTCAGCACTATTGGTTGTTCATGGTGTGTGTGTTCCCTGTGTATAATGTCATACTGTCGGCACTATTGGTTCATGGTGTGTGTTCCCTGTGTATAATGTCATACTGTCGGCGCTTTTGGTTGTTCATGGTGTGGGTGTCTTGTATAGAATGTCATACTGTCAGCGCTATTGGTTGTTCATGGTGTGGGTGTTTTCCTGTATAGAATGTCATACTGTCGGCGCTATTGGTTGTTCATGGTGTGTGTGTTCCCTGTGTATAATGTCATACTGTCGGCACTATTGGTTGTTCATGGTGTGTGTGTTCCCTGTGTATAATGTCATACTGTCGGCACTATTGGTTCATGGTGTGTGTTCCCTGTGTATAAATGTCATACTGTCGGCGCTTTTGGTTGTTCATGGTGTGGGTGTCTTGTATAGAATGTCATACTGTCGGCGCTATTGGTTGTTCATGGTGTGGGTGTCCTGTATAGAATGTCATACTGTCGGCGCTATTGGTTGTTCATGGGGTGTGTTTTCCCTGTGTATGTCATACTGTCAGCACTATTGGTTGTTCATGGTGTGTGTGTTCCCTGTGTATAATGTCATACTGTCGGCACTATTGGTTCATGGTGTGTGTTCCCTGTGTATAATGTCATACTGTCGGCGCTTTTGGTTGTTCATGGTGTGGGTGTCTTGTATAGAATGTCATACTGTCGGCGCTATTGGTTGTTCATGGTGTGGGTGTCCTGTATAGAATGTCATACTGTCTGCACTATTGGTTGTTAATGGTGTATGTCCTGTACAGAATGTCATACTGTCTGAAAGAAAGTTTGAAAAAAAAGTCTTTCAAAGCAAACTTAGCAGTTATTTTTACATTTTATTTACAAATTTCAATAATAGCTTTACAATAAGGTCGATGCCATTTTGACACAACATAAGTTACATCTGACATAATGCTAATTATGCAGCAAATTAAATAATTTTTTTATAAAGACTTAGATCACAAATGGCACAGTCATCAAGACTACAGACATATCTGCTAGCGAGAAGCCATGAAAGTAGGTTTTGTTTCAAGTGACATAGGCACCATGTTCATGAATATATAGAAAGTTACAAAATAATGCTTACAACATACTCATCAACAGTGGATTGGCCAGCCATGGAGGGAATGGGATATGATATACTTGTGACTGCTAATTTCTCTGTCACAGATGTCGGCAAAAACATATGAACGGATTTTGGTATGTATTGTTATGTACTGATAGAGTACACAAAATACACATTGCATATGCCACTTGAAACAAAAGCCTCAAGAGCTTAATATCTGTACATAGAACATATTCGTTAGAATTGCACTCATTAAAAGTTATATAGTGTACTACTCAAAACAAGTTTAAGAATACCCTCAATTGGAGTGAGTGAGGGAGTATGGTTTTACGCCGTTTTTAGCAATATTCCAGCAATATCACGGCGGGGGACGCCAGAAATGGGCTTCACACATTGTACCCATGTCGGGAATCGAACCCTGGTCTTTGGCTTGACGAGCGAATGTGTTAACCACTGGGCAACCCGACCGCACCCCCTCAATTGAAAGGCGGTGTTGCAATACCCACCAGCTACGACAGATTAACTAAATCACATGAACAAATTGGGTGTTCTGTAACTTATTTTGAGCAGGATATAATTATCCAGTGTTTTTGTCTAATGAACACAGGTATACATGTCCAGTACAAACAGAAAATAAGAACGATATCTTGCAGCCAGGATAGGTGTGGAAAATATCATTGTAACAGTGTAAATAAATACTTAAAGCTGAAGGAAACAGTCTACCATGTTTTTTCAACATTTATTGCAGTTCCCCACCATTTTGTAAGTCAAAACCTAACAAGCTACTCAAATGAAGATGTACTTCACAAACTCGCTTCAATTTCCGAACAGGCAGAGAGTGGCCATGCTGACTGTTTAGTGAGACACGTTGACATCGTCAGGAAAGATTTTAATCAAACTTAATAACATCGTAAAACAGCTTTAACACACTTAAAATCAAAGAGAGATAAAACAAACACCATGCCACTGACAGAGACCTAAGGCTGTCAATACGTCATGGAACATATTCTGATCATACCTGATAAATTCAATCTCTTCCAGACACAGCTCAACAAGCTTACTGGGAATTGTTCCTACGAATAAGATCAAGGCAGAGTTAGTTCCCTTGGTTTGTAAACGTGGTGATTATCAAATCTGTTTAATGACAGCAAATGCATATGCACAGCGATGATGTGATTCCAATCCAGTGAATAGTATATGGTCATGATCTGAGCAACTATTGTCAACAATACACCCGACATTGAGTTCATTACAATATGGCTTTGAAAGAGGCAACTTCACTAAGTGTATTACTTCCATAATCTGAGCAAGTAACAGAGACACATTATCCCCACAGGTGAGACGTTCTTATAATGTGATTACAGTCATAGCATGAAAAGCCTTGACACCAAAATATCCATTATTTGTTGGAAAAAAATACAAACATGAACAAAATAAAACTCAGAACCAGTTTCCCCTACATTACAAACATTTGGTAATCATGGCAACATAAATATATATTTTTTGACAAATGTAGTGTGGTTTGGTAATGTAGTCGTGTTTGAAGCAGTTTTAATCCTTTTACAACCATTGCTCGTTGGTTGAGCTGGTTCCTGGGAATATATGTCCTATAGGAATCTTGGTTAGAGGAACACCAATATGCGGAACAGAAAATGGATGAACATATGGAGTGAAAGTGGGCGGATATCTTCATCACCAAGGATAGAGAGATAGTGGAGGAATTAGAGAAAGAGAGAAGGTAGAAGAGGAAGGGAGCAAAGATTCAGCCAATATCAACATATCTATATTACAATGACCGACAGCAGGGAGGAAGGGCTTAAAAACTAATGCAGTCCGGGCATGCTTGCCTCCATTTTCTTTATGAGCAACTAGATTCCAATACAACATTCTGTGGTACAAATGGAAGGGTGAACTGTGATGAGCAATTTCTATTTTACAGAGGCAGAACATGTATTGAAGCTTGCCTACAGTTCAAGGAAAACTAAATCACATGGTAGAAATGTTCTTGGACATACGTATACTGACATCCACAAATTCACCGAGTGACAGCATCACTCTGATCCAAACGTTCTTGGTTGTTCACACACAGCTGCTGAGGTCACCAGCGAAAGGCAGAAACGGGTTACACCTTGTCTGCCATCTTAACAGTGCTGACAGCATCGCTGCAACTCACATCGAGGGTAATACTATAGCACACACAACAGGTCACAAACATTCAATCAGCCTAATATCGCTACTCTTGATTCTCAAAATACTCTCAAAAAGTATTTCCCGTCTGTATGTATGTCTGTCCCTCCCTCTAGGCGTTATCACCCAGTCTGCCCCCGAGGGAGGGTCGAGTGGCTAAAAGGCCGGAGATATACAGAAGTATCCATCCTCTCTGGAGAAGACCGCAGTTATCTCCCCTCCCTCATCTGTCAATGACCCCCATTATTTCTTTATTCGTGCTCTGTATATCGTTGAGCAGCCTCCCACCCCCAGATGGGGTGCTGCTTGTGTACGTTTTCAAATTCTGACTGTGGGACTGCAGCCTAGACAACAGCTCCTTAGCATGGAATTTTGCATGAGGGGGAAGGGAGTCAATGTATCGACAACACAGTGCATAGAATGCTTGGACCTCCTCGGAAAGAAGCATGAAGTTGGTGCTGGACTTATTCCCAGCCAGAGCCAGTTTGTCTATACAAGACCGCAGCTTGTTGGAAGCATCCATGATCAAATCTTTGGACACCGATGAAGTCTCAGAGTCTGATGACGGCGGTTCGTTGGCATTGCTCTGACCCAGGTCGACCAGCGACCTCTCCATGGGATCAGTCTGCTTTAGGGGATGCACGGGTACGTTGTTCCCAGCTACCGGTTTTAACACAGGGAATACTGGCTTATAAATACCTTCATCCTTCTCTTTAGACTTGTTGGAGGAATCATTTGTTCCAAGATTGTCAGCATTAACATGATCTAAGTTGGTCTCCTTCACAGCATTAGCTTTACCAAATGTCTTAAATGAGGACAACTTATTGGTGGAATCCTCAGGTTTTTGTGACCCATGAAAATTGTAATCAAACTTATTTTTATCACCGGATGCATCAGTATTTTCTGAAAGCTTCGGACTTTCCTCTGAAGATGAGGACCTCCCTTTAAAAGGGAAAGGAGGCCGAGGTGGCGCCTGTTTGGTGTTGTTCTCCATAGAATTGTGGTCTGCATTTCCTTCATGGGCAGAGTCGGACCCCTGCTGGTGAGGCAACGGTCGAAGAGGCACTCGTGGTCCCGGGCGGGTGTCGTCTGCCAAAGAAGCATCTTTCATGTTGGAATTCTGCTCAGAATTTTCAGCAAATATTCTGGAAAACCTCGGACTCGGTTTGGGTTTACTGACAGACACATCAGCCTTACTCCCGAGAACAGATTCATCACCTTTGGTAAGATCCGTTTCTGACTTGTAGGTGGACAGGTCCCCCTTGCTCCCTAAACCATTCCCCTTGCTCGACGTCAGATCTGACTTGTGCCTTTGAAGCAAGCCAGAATATTGAGACTTGACCTGTGTAGCAGGTTGATTATCTACTATAACATGAGTCGATTGTGACTTAACTACAGCAGACGGTTTCACGTTGGGTTCCTGCTTGATGCCAGGATCACTGTCTTCTGCCTTAGCTGTGGGCGGGGGATTGAAGACAACCGTAGGTCCCTGCTCTATATTGAGAGGAGGGCAAGATATCACACTGGCAGTATCTGTGCCGGAGTCATGGTCCTCCACAGTGGGCAAGTCACGACTATGATTGTTCTGCTCATGCTCCATAGAGGCGAGATATGCTCCAATACGAACACCTTTGGGGATGGTCCCATACCTATTGATCGCCTTAGCAACATTGGCCACATCCAGTTTCCCCACAGTGATACTGGAGTCCTCGCTCTCATGACCTGAAGTTGATTGTTTCACATCCCCAGGCCGAGTTGTATCCGAGAATTTCTTCCTAGCACCAAGTTGATGTGCTGGTAGTGGCAGGGCCTTTTTGGGATACTGTCCCCCTAAATGAGATGATTGCTGTCCCTCCATCTCTTCTAACAAAGATTCCTTCTCAAATCGCGCTGCTCGCTCCAACTTTTTATCTAGACTAGCACCATGAGGTAAGCTTTTCTTTCTGCCACTACGCCTTTCCTCAGTCCCTTTTTCAAAACTACGAGCATTTGCCTCTGATATCAGATATTTTGATTTGTCTATATGGGCATGTTTCAAGGAATCACTTTTGCTTACACCACTATCATCAGTCGATGGTTCACGTGCCTCATTCCGAGACATGAATTTGGGTGACCCACTCTCATGTTTTGAACGTGGCGGAAACATTCCGGCACGAGCCGATTGTTCCATGATGGACATTTTACTATCCCAGGGTCCTTCGTACATATTTTCCTCCACCTCAGGAACCACAGCACTTTCGATTTTGGCTTTCTGTAACTTCATTCTAGACTTGAGTTCCGAGTCTAGGTCCGGCTGCTGTGGCTGCTGTGGCTGCTGCTGTTGCAGTTGCTCTGGTGTTGGATCTCTGCAGGAGGTGGTGCGCCGTGGCGGTGTGGGGGCGGGGCCACTCTTCTTCTTGGAGGACTTCCGAGATAATATCTCAGACACTCTGTTGAGCGTAATGTCTGTGTCCTCAAGGGGAGGTAATACTCGTCTACCAGCAGGTGGCGTTGGACCTGGATAGAGAGAATAGTGATGTTACTTCTAGTCAGTTGGGAAAAACATTCTCTCAAACACTTATTTACTGCTAAACAGGAAACAGTATGAAAAGAAGCCTATTTTGTGGAGGATTGAGGGATAGAGACAAGTCCGAGACAAGTAAACAATCTCGAGGGACTAGTGATTTTCTTCCAAAATCAAGTCATATTACATAAAGCACTAGTCCAAATAAGTTATGGTATAGTTGGATATGATTTATGGCGTCAATCAAAAAATACTAAATATATTTGAACTTCAAAATAATTTTCCATTTTATTTCATACATTTTTTGTCTCCATTTGTTCTGCTGAGTAAATGTAATTATTTTTCAAATAGAAGAGCTGGTGAGTAACATGTTTTCAAATTGATTTCACATGCTTAGATTTGTCTGCATGGCGAAATGCTGTCGTAAGAATTTGATTAATTAATATTATGCTTATAAACTCCTCTACACAACTGGGGTAAAATGATGCCTTGCAAAGTGGTTCTGGTGTCGTACTATTGGACAAGTAAACTTGCCTAAGATATCCTGAGAGTGACGAGTGAAGTCAATAAATATCTACCTGCACTACTGCGGCCATCTCCCAGATGCTCTTGGCTCTCAAAACTCTGTGTCCGGCCTTTCTTAGACGGAAGGCCAGGGGCCTTTTTCTTCTCACTCTTTTCCAGTTCCTTTTCCACCTCTGTCAAACACAAGTTAGAACAATTGAGTTTCATCGTATCATGAAAGGAACCTTTTTCTAATGAGGATGATCGTCAACTGTACATGTACATACTTCATAACATGACACTGAAGTCTTTAGAGTGAGCAAGTGTCTAACCCTACTTTGAACAGTAGTCCAGTTATATCACAGCATGTCAGCTTACTGTGGGTCTACTAGTGATGCAGGTCTAAGATGTTTACCACTTTGGTGGAACACACGAGCATAGGTATGGTGCTGACAAACCTAGTAACATAATCGGGGGAACTGGGTTATGAACCCACAATCATAGGTTTCTTTGCAACTAGTGGCTGACAGCAATTAAGAAATGTCGTTCTGTCAGGCCAAGCCAAGCAATATGCTGATATCTAATATCGTATTCGACGTAATAAGCGCCCCGCTCTAATAAGCACCCACATCAATATTTGCTAATATATTGGCTTGTGAACGATCCCAATTAGCACCCCTCTGATTGATCAATGTACACAAGACTTATTTATTTGTGTATAATACGCACTCATGTGTTATATACACCATTGATTATGGGCAATTAAATTCTGGAAACATATATATGTTGTGTATAAGCAACACAGACTTTTCTTTTGTATCCTTTCAGGCTGTAAGCATAAACCACGAAATTTAGGATCTTTCAACTCTTTCACCAAAATTATATTCTAATAAGAGCTCCCTATTTCTAATTTTGAGAGCGCGTATTATATTATGTCGAATACAATAACCTATTTGTAAAACATCAGTCCTACCTTCACTGACACTGGACATGTCAAACATGTTCTCAAGGGCAAAATGGATGTCACGGAATGTTGGCCGATCTTTGGGCTCCCACTGCCAGCCTACAACACATTTTGGGTGAAACTCAAGACAAACCTTTACATTATTAATGAGTTATGAACTTAAATATAAAGTCAATATATAATATCTGATTAAAGCTAGACATGTTTTCATGAAGAGAGTGAATAAGTCTTAAAAGTTGTAACATCAAACTCCTTGATTTCACAAGGAAATTTATTATTATTCTTACAACTGGTCATCAGGTCTTTGAAAGGCATTTAGAAGTGATACACATAAGGAAGAGAATTTAAGGATGTCAACTTCTTTATTATGAGGAACACAACGTTTCGGAGTATATGCTTACTCCATCATACTCCGAAATGTTGTGTTCCTCGTAATAAAGAAGTTGACATTGACAAATTCTCTTCCTTAACTGGTCATCAGCTAGTAAACAGTATCAAAATTGTGACTGGTCATAATCTGCTCAGAAAGTATAATATTCTGAATACATCTGATCATAAGCTGGGAGACAGTACAAATACATAGACTTGGTTACAATCTGCTCAGAAAGTATAATTGTGATGATTACATCTGATCATCAGCTGGTAGACATTGGCTGGACAGCCTGATGGCCTCTCCATGCGATAGCCCCTCTCCAGCAGGTGGTAGACGTCGGTCAGGTCCACCCCGGGGTACGGGGACATCCCATAGGTAGCAAGCTCCCACAGTAGCACACCAAACGCTGAAACAAGCAGGCACAATTGAGGGCAGGAAAATAGTCACCATTATCACTGAACAGTATAGAGCTGGTCGTACAAGAGACAGTGGGGGCAGGAAGATAGTCACCATTATTACCCACTGTAAAGAGCTGCTAATACAAGAGACAATGGAGTCAGGAAGATAGTCTCCATTATTACCCACTGTAAAGAGTGCTAATAAAAGAGACAATTGGGGCAGGACAATAGTCACCATTATTAACTACTGTAAAGAGCTGCTAATACAAGAGACAATGGGGGCAGGAAGATAGTTACCATTATTACCCGCAGTATACAGCTGCTAATGCAAGAGACAATGGGGGCAGGAAGATAGTTACCATTATTACCAACTGTAAAGAGCTGCTAATACAAGAGACATTGGGGGCAGGAAGATGGTCACCATGATTACCCACAGTATAGAGCTGCTAATACAAGAGACATGTGGGCATGATGAAAGTCACCATTATTACCCACTGTAAAGAGCTGCTAATACAAGAGACATTGGGGACAGGAAGATAGTCACCATGATTACCCACAAGTGCTGCTAATATAAGAGACAATGGGGCAGGCTGATAGTCACCATTATTACCCACTGTAAAAAGCTGCTAATACAAGAGACAATGGGGGCAGGAAGATAGTCACCATTATTACCCACTGTAAAGAGTGCTAATACAAGAGACAATGGGGGCAGGACAATAGTCACCATTATTAACTACTGTAAAGAGCTGCTAATACAAGAGACAATGGGGGCAGGAAGATAGTCATCATTATTACCCACTGTACAGAGCTGCTAGTACTAGAGACGATGGGGCAGGATGATAGTCACCATTATTACCCGCAGTATACAGCTGCTAATACAAGAGACAATGGGGACAGGAAGATAGTCACCATGATTACCCACAGTATAGAGCTGCTAAAACAAGAGACAATGGGGCATGATGAAAGTCACCATTATTACCCACTGTAAAGAGCTGCTAATACAAGAGACATTGGGGACAGGAAGATAGTCACCATGATTACCCACTGTAAAGAGCTGCTAATACAAGAGACAATGGGGGCAGGAAGATAGTTACCATTATTACCAACTGTAAAGAGCTGCTAATACAAGAGACACTGGGGGCAGGAAGATGGTCACTATTAACACAATGTGCTGAAGCTCACATCTGAATAAACACAGCTTATTATTTGATGAAACCAATATGTGTATTTACAAAAATGAAGCTTCAAATTCAAATATTTTGCTGAAGCTTACCCCAAACATCGGACCTAGTAGAGAACCTGTTATATGCCAGTCCCTCTGGCGCCGTCCACTTGATGGGGAACTTGGCCCCTGCATGAGCTGTGTAGGTGTCGTCCTTCATGAGACGGGCCAGGCCGAAATCAGCCACCTTCACCAGGTGGTTCTCCCCCACAAGACAGTTCCGAGCAGCCAGATCACTAAATTACACAACATTTCCAATGTCACAACAAGAATGAACTAACTATACACAGCATGTTATGTAGTTACAAACTATTCTATAGACCCCAGATGCTTGTACAATGTAACAAGTTACATAACTGTTACTGTGCATTACACATAAAGGACATAATAAGGTGTCAAATCACGCTCTCATGAACAAATCGGACTGAGCTGGTTCTCCACTTTGGTGTAACATTTCAAAAGTATTAAGAATCGACTTTGATGTAAAAACCAGTGTGCAAGCTGTGTAAATTTGCATAGCAGACTTACAGACTGCTTATTTAATAATAAATGCACAAGGACCTGTAGACAACAGTACAAAAACTGTGACATCTTCAGTGCAATGATGCAACACAGGCCCCACCCATTCTATTATCAGCCAATCAGAAAAGAATAGTTTGTTAGCGGTTGTGGCCTAACCTTTTTTCTGCTTATGGAAACAACATTAAAAAAATGCTTGGTTATCAAATCAATTGCCACGAAATCATTTGCAATATTTTATACCAATTTACACTACTAAACCCCACAATGAATGGAGTGATAGAAAGCAGTGACTGACCGGTGGATGAACATTCTCTCCTCCAGGTAGGCCATGCCGGAGGCTATCATGGTGGCCATGTACATGAGGACAGTGGGGCCCAGCTCCTCCTTGTTGCTGCCCCTCAGGAAGTCCAGCAGGTTGCCCTGGACCATGAACTCGGTGATGATGTAGAACGGCGGCTCCCTCGTACACACGCCTGGAGAATGTCATTTAGTAAATCACGAAGAACATAACAGTCAACAATTAACGAATTAACTCCATTGTAGTTTGTCCAGAATATACAAGACTTCTATTCCTGACAAGTATCTAAGCATCATTTTTAATAGATATAACATATAGCCTGGCATAAGGTTAGTTTACTAGATAGGGGTGAATAAATAATTTCATCACATTTTTTTACGAGTAAAAATATTAGGAATGTCTTTGGGCATGGAATATATTCAACATAAGGTTGCAGACTTGTGTGGTATTATGTTATGTTATGTTGTGTTGTGTTGTGTTGTGTTATTATGTTATGTTATGTTATGTTATGTTATGTTATGTTATTATGTTATGTTATTATGTTATGTTATGTTATGTTATGTTATTATGTTGTTATGTTATGTTATGTTATGTTATTATGTTGTTATGTTATGTTATGTTATGTTATGTTATGTTATGTTATGTTATGTTATGTTATGTTATGTTATGTTATGTTATGCAGACGTTAAAGCTCAAATGCATGTTTCATATTTGTTCCCCGATCGGTGGATCTGTAAGCATTCTAGTTGTCAATCTGAACTTCTTGTGGAGCATACAACCCATGTTGCCCACAGGCAAGAGAAGGTTTTTACATCCACCTCACATGTCAGGTACCCATTCCCTGCTGGGTGAACAGAGGCACATTTGAACTTTGTCACTAGCCCAGATTGACACCACACATTTTGATACCTTTGTACGATATATTCATTTTTCCACCATCTGGTCATCTACCCTCGGATGAAAGGGTTCTTTTGAGCGCACAGGGTGAATGTACCGTACACTAGGGGTAGTGACAACATCATTACAACTTGTTACCCTGCTGCTGCACACCACTGGACCACTCCATCCCTATTCCAATTAATATCCCAGTCCAGATTTCAGATTTCATGCAATTGAGTGAAATCTTACCTAATAATTGCACTAAGTTGGGATGTTTCATTTCTTTCATGATGGTGGCTTCTTCCAGGAAATCTTTCAGAGCCATTGTGTCTTCCTGCAAAACACCAGTTGGACATGGATTATATACAGTCACTATATAACTAACCACTGAGAGAGATATGTGCATCAAAGGGCATCCTTGTCTCAGTTACGAAAACGCCTTGTCTCAGTTACGAAAACTCCACATAATGTGCCCTTGACAGAGATATAGTTTCCGTACTTATGAAATAAGAAAAAGGGGGGGGGGGGGGGGGGGGGGGAAGGAAAGTACATAAAATAATATGCATATAACATTATAGGATAAACCCTGAACAAATAGGTAATTTACATCATTGATGTAATAATTACCTATCAACAACATTATATCATAAAACAGAAGCAGTAACTGGATCTTTGTTTTGTTCAATAAAGAAAATCGGGTGACAAACCTTTAAAGTCTTGACAGCCACGGTTTTGTTGTACCTTTTCCATACCGCCTCGTACACATCCCCGTACTGCCCTCCACCTAGAATAGACAGACATGGGGGTCAGGATAGAACAATGCTGAACACCTGTCTTGGACACCTTCAAATCTCTCATAAAAATATCTTTTCTTACCTAACTAATCATACCCTGAACAATCAGTGGGCTTATTCACCAATGCATCAACATGTAAATAAATACCTAGCACCTGTTATTGTGATTTACTTTTGTGATTTACTTTCAGATACTGAGCATTCACAGAATACAGTGGGCTTATTCACCAATGCATCTACTGTTAATAAATACCTAGCACCTGTTATTGTGATTTACTTTCAGATACTGAGCATTCGCAGAATACAGTGGGCTTATTCACCAATACATAAACGATAAATACCTAGCCTGTGCTTCATGGCTATCTCTGTTCTCTCTATCTCCCACTTGTCAGGCTCCGGGCTTACACCGAACACAGTGGGCTTATTCCTCTTGGGTGCTGGGTAGAGGAGGGTGGTGACGAGGCCGTCAGCATGGATGGAATGGTGGTGGACGAGTTCTGCTAGTGTGTTGAATCTGTGCTCAGATGTTACAAATACCTGAAAAAATACATTTGATCAGTGATACTGGATTCCTATATTCACTAGCTTCGACAAACTAACCAGGTTTTGTGTGAGCATCAAACATGGACAATGAGGTATGGTGCTTTACTTAGTCAGCGGGTCCAACCTGGACCTGAGGGTACAATACTACACAAGATCACCCAGGCCCCACTTTGGTGAAGTGAGGTGAAATGGGATCTAACTTCGCGTAAAATATTATTGCACTTATAGAGTGATGTGTGTTTGTTTGCGTGTGTACAACTAGACAAGGGAGGCGGTCGCCTCACTTTGTGAGTATGGGACTATAATTCAGCCCTGAAGCTCCATGATGAGAAGATGATGATCGAGTTGAACGATCACAACAAGAGCTGGGACGGGTAACTCAATAATTGGTCTGAGTAGGTTCCGGGAACTCACATGACAACCCAGGTCATGTGACACAAATTTACTGTAACTCCATGGTTATACAACAAGTCACTAATGTTCGCATTTCTTTCTCTGTCAAATAGTTTTTGCCAGGCTCTAGTAAAACAATTCCCAATCGGCCATTTTGTACCAAATATTTGAGAACTACAAATATATGTCATTTTGTACAAATTAAAGGCTTTTCAAGCCACTTTAGTGATTTTCAAGGCTTTTCAAGATTGGCACTAAAAATGAAGCATTTCAAGAAGGACCTTAAAATTCAAGGCCTTTTCAAGCCTGTACAAACCTTGTTATAAAGCATAACTCAACTATGACTTTTTCTACACCATCACAAATAGGGTACAAATGACGCAAAACTGTAAAATGTAATCAATTTCATATAAACACGCAGATCATCCAAGCCCAGCCACTGCACACATCCTAATCAACACCATCCCTGGAGCAACGACTTGAAACTTCTATTTTAAAAGTTTCAAAGTTTTAAACAGCACTTAAATTAAATTTATGAGATTTGACAAGCTGCCAGCATTACGTTAATGGCTTGGGCAGGCTCTAATAAAACATCTATTTATATGAAGACTAACAGATGTTCAAGCAAAGTGTGTGCAGTTGGCCATCAAAATGAGATTTCTTCTGTCAATACACTTGTAATGCTGATACTGTGAGCCTATGATCACATCTTAATGTACAGATTCACTTGGCCATGAATACAAGCTTCCCATATTTTGTTTATTCAGCAATCTTAGTCACACTCCTTAATGCTATCGATAATATAAAGATGGCAAGTTTATCAGCCATGCCTTACTAAGTATACTCTTTATCCGCACAATGACCAACAATCCGATATGTTGTGAAAAGGTTGCTTGTTTACTGTTGTGTAGGGATACATTTGTTTTAAGTTATAGCCACGAGAAATTTTGAAGGTGGTTGGGGATGGGACCTCCCGAGATGTTTGCAATAAATTTGATTATGGGTAAGAAAGAGAATAACCAACTCGAAACTGAGAATAGCAGTTTATCTTTCCCTCGGGTAATTCTCTTGGGAAAGATAAACCATAATTCCTTGTAGCTCATTAGTTATTCTCATAATCCCCAATCCCCACTTATGACAAGTATGAGATACAAAGGCTTATTCTTCCCTGAAGCCCGAACTGGGTTCATCAACTCACCTTGCCAGTGTCCGTGTCTTCACTGATCCGGTAGTGGTACACTCGACCCTCAAAGCGGACTGATATTGACCTCTGGCCTGGACTACTTTCACTCTCTCGGACCAGGAAGCTGCCATTTATTCCACTACTGAGCAGATACTCGGATGCATTGCGGGATATCTGTCCGTGGTACCAGGAGAACTTGTCCAAGCTGTTGACGGGTGCAATGTAGTTGCTGGGCACCCAGCCCACATCTCCTGCTCTGTTCTTAACTTCACACCATTCTCCTCCTTTGTTGTAGCCGAGGATCGTCATCTGCTCGCCTGTTGAAACACAGCCAATGGTCAAATTCAGGGTTCATACAACTCACTAGATTATGACCATTCAAGGCCATGTTAATGCATCATCAAGGCCTATCTACAATACTTGAGCTACCTGTCATTTTCATGACAACAGTCAAAAGCACATGCTCCGAGGATCACAATCATCACACATTTCGTGCACAGGAATGGTAATAACCTATACGATAACTCTGTAAGACAAAATGTATGTCAATTTTCTTTGAACAAAGTTTTGTTTCTGAAGCACTTAAACAAATTCAAGCTATTTTACGACAAATTCAAGTTATCTTGAAAGTGAATTGTTTGATAGGCATTACTTAGAAGTTGACGGATGACAAAGTAGACACAATTTATGGATAACACCTTCTCATATACTGTAAAGGTTATGTTTCAGTATTTATCCTAAAACCGTTGTCAAGCAAGACAGACTTGCCTGACAACGGTATAAGGATCTATACCGAAACACCGCCTTACAGTAATAAAAAAGTTGTTATCCATAAATTGTGTCTACTTTGTTATCTTGAAGGTAATTTCAATTTCAAGGCCTATCCTAGATAATCCTTAATAGTCAACACCTTTTAGTCCTGTGAAATTGTTTTATAATACTTTCACAGGTGAATGAATGAGTGAGTGAGTGAGTGAGTGAGTGAGTGAGTGAGTGAGTGAGTGAGTGAGTTGGGTTTAACGCCGCTTTTAACAGTATTCCAGTTATATCGCAGTGTGTCAGCTTAATGTGGGAGGAAAGCCCGAAGTGATGCAGGTCTCAGACGTTTACCACTTCGGTGAAACCCACGAGCACGGGTATGGTGCTGACAAACCTAGAAATATAATCGGGGCGAACTGGGATTCGAACCCACAATCATAGGTTTCGGGCGTGCCCAAGGGACGCAACTCTGCACAGCAAATCGCGGCGCCTTAGACAACTGGGCCACCCATGCACCCCAGGTTGAAAGAACATCCACAGTTTGTGACCTGGCATAACCCCTATACTATGTATACACGACTGGCCAACTGAATCAATGATTGGTCTGGTATTTTTCTTGTAAATGAACAGTTTTAATCATAGGGTACCAAGTAGCCCTGGAGAAGTGTGTTGAGAAATGGTTAAAATATTCATTTATTCTACAGCAAGGATCATTAAAGTGTTCCCGACAGCGACAAAAGACCCAGGAATAAATTGATCTTTGACTTTTTCTCCCTTAACCTGTAGTGTCTGAAATCTTTCCTCTGATACACTGCACAGTTTGTTGCTAATTCTGACTTGTAAAACCCCTGGTGGTGATTTTTTAGTCACTGGTTATCTCATAATTTCCACATTGTTGTTACGGCAGCATGGGCTACATTGAGAGTGACAATCAGTGACACAGTTTTAGGGCATTTCAGAATCAAGTCCTTATTTGTTTTTAGAATACAATGTAGGCCTTTGACGTTAATGATTAAGCATAAATAGTTCTTATTCTGTTCTTACATGCCTAAATGATTAAGGTATTGTGAACTTTAATAATCATACTGCATAATCATATGCATGGCAAACCAATGTTCTTAACGAGTTTAAAACCCACTGATGGCGTTCACCAATCAGAAGCAACAAGGACTCAAGTGAACCCTGAGTGTTATCAAAGTACAGGGAACCTATTTCTCCCAAGTGAGTGAGTGAGTATGGTTTTACACTGCTTTTATCAATATTCCAGCAATATCGCGGTGGGAGAAATCAGAAATGGGCTTCACACATTGTGCCTATGTGGGGAATCGAACCCTGGTCTTCAGCGTGACAAGCGAACAAGAGCAAAGTCTAACTTACCAAGAGCAGCTGCCTGAAGTCTAAATGACTCACACTTTTTCTCACATGTTTTTTGTTGTTATTTTTTTTTAAATATTATTTTTAAATCCATCTTTTCTGTCAAAAAACTTGGGCATCCAATGCTAAGGGTTAGTTCCAGTGTTTTGGGTTTGTTTTTAAGGGTCAGGGTGCAATGTTTCATAAGTATACATAAGTACCACATAAGCTCATGGGTATCCTATGCAAATATGACATATTTCACTGAAATAAGACCACTTAAAGGAAACAGCTTTCCATTTTTTGTAGCACATTACTACATTATTGAAAAGTTGAAATATCTCTTAAGTTCAAGAAAAGTAATACCAATATTGGACAAAATAATGTATAATGGGCATTCACTTAGAATTGTAACATTGATCCTAACATCTGTGGCCTCTTGTCATGAACTGCATGTTTGACGCCTACCTTTGACTATGCTGAGTTGGTTGTCACCGCCAGCCTGGAAGTCGTACAAGGCCACAAAGAGATTGGGGTCCTCCTCCTGCTGACCCACCAACAGGTTCTCCTTGGACATCCATTTAGAGCCCAGCACGTCCAGGGGCGCATCAGGCAGGGGACGGTTTTGGAGCAGCGCTTCTGAAATACAAGCATCACAATTAGGGAATACAGCTTTGATATGTTCAGAAAAATGTGCAGCATATGATAGCAGCGGACACAAGAAAGGGAAGATGCCGAACTTCTAACACTCATCAGGTAACCTAAGAGAATCTGGCATAATCTAAAAGTATCTGAAAAGGAAATGTCTTTTTTTCAATTTTGTTCTGTGTGCCACAAAATGGGCATTTCAATTTTCAGGGTTAAGTTCGACATCTTATTGCCTAAAAAGCTCAAAGCATGACAAGCAGGTACAACCATTGAGCTGAGTGACTGAAGAAGTCAGCAGAAAAGTAATAGGAAATCTCTTCATTTGACATGCAGAGGATCAGTCTCTTCTGATGACAGCTACAAAACACCTGACCAAGCAGCACCTTGTGATAAAACATACTGAAACATCCCCGACCCAGCCTGATTCACCATGGACACATACATGTGGTCAGCATCTGAATCCATGTTAGAGGTTAAGTGTTCCTTTGTCTCCGAATTACCAAACAATAGAATCAATGATATGTATCTGTAAACATCATCAGAACTCCTTGATTGAAACTGCACCAGAATTCTCTACACCTGTCCTCCATCAGAGCAAGTGCTGATAAAAGGCTGATTATAAGGAAATCAATACGAAGAAACACAAACAATGTCTTCTAACCAACCAAACAAATATTTCACAAGGGTATAATAGTGCTGTAGTGTTAAGGCTGGGTTTCTATCATCAATAATGTAAGCTTGGTGATTAACTGGAGGCACCTTCAGATTATGTTCTCTATAAATAAACATTGCCGTACCATACACAACATGCATGTGTCGGGGACAAAAGCCATTGTAATCTGATTGCCTACTGGTATAACATACGGCTACACCCTCTCACCTTTACTGCATATAGCTACCCCCAAACTATGTATTACAAAATAGCTACACCCACACCATCCTTTCTACACCAATTCTTCCTCTATTACATATTACATATCTCTCTCTCTCTCTCTCTCGCTCACGCACACATGCACACATTCATACACATCTATTTCATGTAACTACAACCCCTCTCCCCACCCCTCACTAAATACAGCTTGGTACCCTTCTTTTCTCCCATAGGGTGCCTCAAACATTAGGCACATTGTAGACTTGCACAAGTCTATAAGGCAAAAGTTATTGGTCTAAATCAAAATTTCTAGATTATCTAAATAATAAGAACAAGTTGTCTCTGAAGAGACTGGCATTCGTTTATCTAGGCTTGCCTATCATCATTCAGTACAGCCTTGGAGCAAGGCTAGGCACATGGGTCAGAGGTGAGTGGTAATTCCTAAGGCTGGTAGATCCTAATATCAGACTAGCTTGACATTCCAATGTTTATTTTTTGCATAAATGAATATCAGGCTGAAGTGGCCTGCCTCGGCTTGTTACAATGTAACTCGTGACCTTTGCTGGGCTGAAGCTACATTATAAACAGAGCAATTGTGATATTCCAGTCTGCTGAAGAGCATCGCACATTAGGGGGAAATGTCATGTAAACATAGAACTGGGTCCTCTTTAGTTCTGATGTAAAAAAACATTTTAACTTTTGTAAAGACAACTGTCAAAGCCCCAGCATTGTTCAAATTTATCAACTGGTCAAAGAATTGACACCCAGGAGTTTACAACAGCGAATGAGGGGTACCGTATGTGACATAATAAGCGACAGGGCGCTCTCAAAATAAGAAATAGGGGGCTCTTATTAGAATATAATTTTTTTTAAAATTTAACTTTTTAGAGTTAAAAGATTGTAAGTTTCATGGTTTGTGCTGACAGCCTGAAATGATACAAAAGAAAAGTCAGCACATATTATACACGACAGATATATTTCCCATAATTTAATTCATATAACACACGAGTGCGTATTTATTCTATTATACACAAATAATTAAGTCTTGTGTACATTAATCAATCGGAAGGGGTGCTAATTGGCATTGGACACTTGCCAATATATTAGCAAATATCACCGTGGAATTATTTAGAGCAAGGAGCTTTTTACGTCGAATACGGTACATAATAATCATTCTTAAATGCCAACTTTAGACATGTATTATCAACATAGTTTTCACATACCAACTCCATACCTCCAAGTATTTTATATATCAAAACTACAGAGCACCACCACCACCCTCAAAGAATGTAACATTTAGCCCTTTATCAATTTTTTCTTGTAGCCTACAGTGAAAAGTTGTTCCCTTGTCCCATTATCTAGTGCTAATGCAAGGGACATCAGCCACCTCTGATGGAATTGAATCATTACATCCTGGAACAGTGTTATACACACAGCTGACAAGACACAGTGTGTAACATTAATGCAGGCCACAAACAATAGGAGCAGTATTTCCCTTGTTCCTGTGTCACTCTCCAAGACATCATGTGATGACAAGACAATGCAATCACTAGGGCTGGCAGTTTTCCATTCAGACAATGGCAGACAAGGGGCCATCTCAAAGAAACTCGTCAATGATTATTGACGACAACGAAAAGGACCTTGGGCTATTTCTCACTGATATGACAATCATGTTGGTCAGAAAGGTTCACTGAGCGTACAAGCACTATTGACAGATCCAAGCAATCCTCACGGTCCACAGATCGACCAAAAGTTCAGAAATCAAATTATAGATCTAAAAAACAAACAGAGAAACAAGTGTGCTACATGGAAGTCCTGAATTCTGTCCTCAAGCTGCAACAAAATGCTTTTATCTGATGCATGTTATTGAAGAGGCAGTTAATAACAAAAACACATTTTGTTGTCTAAATTAGCGCAATTAACAATATTTGAAATTCACTATTCCTTGAGCTGGAAAATGTCTAATCATACAGGTTTGTTTGTTTGTTTGTTTGTTGTTTAACGCCACACTCAGCAATATTCCAGCTATATGACGGCAGTCTGTAAATAATCCAGTCTGGACCAGACAATCCAGTGATTGACATCATGAGCATCGATCCACGCAATTGGGATCGATGACATGTATCAACCAAGTCAGCGAGCCTGACCACTCGATCCCGTTAGTCGCCTTTTACGACAAGCATAGTCACCTTTTACGGCAAGTATGGGTTGCTGAAGACCTATTCTACCCCAGAATCTTCACGGGTCTAATCATACAGGTAATACAAACAGGAAACAGTCTCGAAACAAACCATTCCGTTTGCTAGTTATCACCCATGATGTCAGACACCAACGCCTTATTGTGACGCTAATGATAGTCTGTATTGAACAACACAATGGACATCAATAACTGTGCTGTCGGTAGGTGATGTGCATGTATTCTTTATCAGTCAGTGTGAACTTGCTGTCAACTTTCATCACAGGAGCGAAGCCTCTCATCCTTGCCATGAATGTCTGATCAATGTTCAACAATTTCCAGTCAGTGACCACAAAATTAACTAGCTGTAAATAGTGAGTCAACTCCAACTGAAATTATTATAGTTTGGGCCTGAAGTGGACACAGATATATCACATAATGCCACAGAATGCTCTGCTTATCATACTTGAACTTATCATGGTTATGAACAAAACATAATTATTATTTAATGGGTTTTTTCAATATTTATTTGGTCCCATGTTCTGGATCACCCAAAACTCAATGGAGGTTCTTTTTTTTAATGTATTCAATTGCCTTGAGTTTCTTAGTCTGTGTTGGGGCCAATCAAATCAAGAGTATTGCAAAATATAATACAGAGCAAAAGAGGCTTCATTAACAATTGATAAAAAAAACCCACATAACAGACAAATTCATTGATTACCTGCAATATTCTATTATTTGTGTACCATGCACTGCTGATACTGAACTAAGAGACACGATTACATGTCTGGACAATTCCTTACAAAGACCGATCAAACACCAACTGAAAACAAATTTGATGCTTCATCTATACAACAAATTATTCACAATTGATTACATAATGACAATTACTGCCAGATACTCATTTCAGGATCCGAAATATCCCACGACCAACCATCACAGCAGCTACTTGACGCTGTGGAAACGAGAGCACTTTACAGTGGATTTCAAATCAATAAATCACATAACCAGTCAGTGACTTTACTGTACTTAGGATGTGCTGCCGGGGAGAGGAGTGGAGGTATCAGGTGACCATGATTCAACAGGTACACGGCACCAACATGTTATCGGGACACACCATACATGAACAGGCTGGGCAGTTCTTCATGAAGGCTATCTGCCTCACTTAAATGTTTCACTTGCTGATGATCATCTCTAAGAGCAGACTGAATAGGTGCACAGTAACCTGGGAAAGCGCTATCTGGAGATATGGCATGCACACTGTGACAGTTCTAGCCATATTCTCCTCACCTAGGATCTCCAAATAACCCATTCTCTTCTCATGAGTGGCTTCACGTACACAACAACACCATATCTTACCCCTATCAGGGCTAACCTGGTGACCTTATCCTTTGGGGTATAGATTGGGTGACTGGCTGCTGACATTATCTCTTGGGGTACAGAGAGGGCGACTCTGGCTGCTGACCTTATCCCTTGGGGTACAGAGTGGGTGACTGGCTAGTAACTGGCTAGTGACCTTATTCCTTGATGCATATAGACTGGGTGACTCTGGCTAGTGATCTTTATTCCTTGGGGTACAGAGTGGGTGACTCTGGCTGCTGACCTTATCCCTTGGGGTACAGAGTGGGTGACTGTCTGAGACCTTATTCCTCGGGGTATAGAGTGGGTGACTCTGGCTGCTGACATTATCTCTTGGGGTACAGAGCGGGCGACTCTGGCTGCTGACCTGATCCCTTGGGGTACAGAGTGGGTGACTGGCTGAGACCTTATTCCTTGGGGTATAGAGTGGGTGACTCTGGCTGCTGACATTATCTCTTGGGGTATAGAGTGGGTGACTCTGGCTGCTGACCTTATCCTTTGGGGTATAGAGTGGGTGACTCTGGCTGCTGACCTTATCCCTTTGGGGTACAAAGCGGGCGACTCTGGCTGCTGACCTTATCCCTT